CACATACACACACAACTACTGTACTCTGACAACCCACTTGCCATCAAGACATAAACCTGCCATATCATAACTGCTCAGTAGTCGGTATCTACTGTGCGGTATCTCGTCTGTCTACTGACACCAGCGCTTCTAATCAACCGCCAGACAACGGTTTGGTCAAAACTGTAAGTACAAAACCATGAGTGGAAATACTAGTGAATAATTTTAAATAAATTTTTTTATTGCTCCATTCTAACTACCGATGATAGCCACGATGCCGACCATACAAACCCGGCCCCCGGGCGGCATCTTAATTAACTGCCGTTCCCGGGGTTTCCGTCCAGTGCCCGTGGGTGCCCGGTTCTTACCTTGCATTTCCGTCGTCCTTCATATTAGATACCATCTCTGATCTTTTTTGTGGCCTCTGATCTTTTTTATAGTCTCTACCCTCTCTCCAAAAGATTGTGCGCGTGTTTGCGCACACACTTTTCGAGCGCCCCAATACTGGCGCAAAACCGACTTTAGTTTCATTATTTATTACATTTATAAAATTTTGTAATTCCATGAGGAGCATTCGGGGATCATCTGTTGTTGAGGGGTCTTCTTTGGCTGTAGTCTTGTCCGTAAGTCTTTTGGGCACTGGAGATTCTGCTTGCGGAAGTTTCGACTCTCAAGGTGGGCTTGTTGTCTCGTGTTCCGCAGCCAGAACTCCCAGACAGGACGAGGCACTAAGGTTGCCTAAGCCACTCAAAGACTGTGTCCGTTTGGATTGGAGTTCGGAGCACCGCATGACTCCTGATCTGTTTCTCTCGATAGGGCTGCAATGTTTGGCCAAGATGAAGGAGGACAAGGACCTGCGACTGCGTTCAGTGGAGCAAATCCAGTTTAATAAAAAGAGCGCGAAAATCCTCGTGGAAATAGACAGGGACCATGAGAAGTACACGGCTGAGGAGGGAGTCGCCATGAATTGGGCAGGGCAGCTTGAGCAGGTGTTGTCCAAGTTGGCAACTTACGTGACATGTGTCTCCGAAAACGATCCGGCGGAAGTAACAGCTGTTTTGAAGCGTTACGCTCAGAGCACCACGGTCGATTTGGTAACCCTGGATACCCCCGTCACCACAAACTCCCTCGGTTTGGATAGAAAGAGGACGCTGGCCGTAATTGAAGAAGAGTTGCTCGACGCTTACAACAAGTTACAGCCTGGGACCAAGTTCAGCGACCGACACTGGCGCGGGGTTTGTCGCCCCCGACTTGGATTGAATGCGCAGCACCAGGTGGCTGTGGTCTCGTGGCTGAGCGGATTTGTTTGTCCTGAATGTCGCCCGCAGGATCTGAAAGATCTCCGATATCCCACGAGAATTCAGGACGTCGCGGCCTTGGCAGCTGCCAGTGATGGAGCCGCAGTGGGACGCATCAAAGAAAGTGACGGCACGGGGAGCGGTCGTGATTGGCAGAGAGTGGCAGATGCTGCAGCGGAGGAAGTGCGAAAAGACGCGGATGCACAGGGATTGGGCACTCAGCACATTCCGCTCGGAATTACTTGGCAGCCTTGGAAAGAGAAATGCGTGAGCAACGAGAATGCCGGATTGGTACTGCAGGATCGACTCGAACGCGGGTGCATCATGCGACTTTACGACTTATTGAAACTCTATCGACTCTCGCACCAAGTAACTGACAGCCTCTTGCGTCAACTCAAGTCACGTCTAGGAGACGCCGGCAAGTACTGCTGCGTCGGCTCTTACTCTCAGCTGTATGTCATCCTTGAGCAACGTGTAAACATCGCGACTGAAGAAACCTCAAGTAAGCTCCTCCTCCTCCTCGCTCCAGAGTGCATGCGGGCAACCACAAAGGAACGCGCCGCCGAAGTCACTCAACAGTTTATCAAACGCTTCAAAAGGGACGCCGGCTACGACGCACCGCGCTCGGAAAGTCAACTCCACGCTTCCGTGATTCCGCCCTTCATGGCCTAAAATATGGACCACCCATTTTTGTTTAACACCCCAACTGCTCAATAAGTACTGCTTGTGCTTGTCCTACAATTTGTGCTTGTCCTGTGGCCGTCCTGTGCCACGCTCGGCCACCCGGTTTACGTACGGCCCACCCCTATCGAGTCCTCAATAAGTACGGCTATCGAGTCCGATTTTCTTTGTTCCGTAATTCTTCCAGCCACTGGGGAAGAACTCCGGCGTAGGTTTGTTGGGCTCTCCGCCACTGGGAGAGGCCTCGTAGGAAGGAGGGAGATCTCTTTGGGTTGGTCGCATTTTCTGGAGTCCTGGTTTCAACCCTTAATGACGTCTCTCCCTAGTGATGCGCTGCAAACACGCGCGCGTTGTCCCAAATATGCCCAACGTCTTTTATGTCCCAAAAG